AAATTAAATTTAGCTACGTATATTAATAAAAGAAAAACAAGAAATTAAGGAATTCAACACCCCGTTAATTGACGGAACGTGAATGATTTTAATGTTGTGTGTGTCATCTCTGCCATGCGTGTGCGTTGCCTTAATTTGATGGCCTTTTCTCCACTTTTTTGTCCCTTTTATTTAACAGCAGAAAATGAAATTTCTCCTTCTCTCCTGTTTGTACGTATATCTCTCCAAATAAAAATTCAGAAGCCACCAAATTTGACCAATAAGAAAATTATATATAATTGGCTGCTCCTCCAAAAACTGCTAGTATTTATTATTATTATTTTTTTTTTTTGCGTTGATAAGAATATATTTATTATATATGAAAACCTAGAGCCACTTTTGTTGACTAAAAAAAAAAAAGACTCTAAAAAGGACTCCAATTCCTTGTGCCAACCTGTGTCTGCAGCCACTTTAATAAAAACTCTAATTCATGCATGCATGTAGGGGTCAAATCAACCACCAATTGATACCTTTAATAGTTAAATTATTCTTCAAGTCCTCCATCTTCCAAAATAATGCAATTCAATTCTTGAATTTTTTTATTCTTGCAACCCATGTCTTCTTTGATTCAATTCAAGTCCTTCACCTTCCAAAATATTCAATTTGACCTCCAAACATTTCAATCTTCAATTCATGGTCCGGATCAGCTATTGAATTATTACAACTTGGTCCCCAACTTTTGGATTTCGCTTTTTTTTTGCTTCATTCCTTTAATTCCTTTTTCTTCATAAATTTTTTGTTTTTTTTTTTTTTTTTTTTTTTTTTTTTTGCTTCATTCCTTCAATTCCTTTTCCTTCATAAAATTTCACCTATTAAACATAAAAAACAAAAATTTAGGATATAATTTGTCAAAAGAACCATCAAATATCACTATTTAAGGTACTGAATAAGTGTATAAAATACACTTATTAGTAGTGATCTAGTTTACAACTGAATGATTCAAGATAGGTCATGTATGTGCTACGAAACATAATGTTCGAATCAAATGAGATATGCACAACACCTCTTTTGAGATTTACAGGGAAAGCCTAATTTGTTCTCAAATTGATGTTTCCCAGCAGTTTGATTACACGCAATCATTTTTTCCCCTTTATCTTTTTTAATTGCGTGTTAATAAATATATGTATACAAGGCTTGATGAAAATAAACTACATAAGCAGTCACTTAAGGCATGCAATATTTTAATCGAATTTTGACATTTTCCACGAAGTTGTGGTCTTGTGGACCTACTTGCACAAAAAAATATAAGTTTGAAGATTTGTCTTCCAACTGATAATTCATTTGGGGACTCAAGTGATAACAAGTCGTTATGGTTGGAGAAGCGCAACCGCAAATTTCCCAAAATGATCCATTTGACCATTTTGATGCATTATTGGCGAACTAAAAAAGGAATAAGTGTAACACCCACAAATCTAAATACCTAGATCTAGAAGTATTATCACTTCGTTCCCTTTTTAAAAAAAAAAAAATATATATATATATATATAAATGAGGAAAACAAATAAATTTTTATTTTACATAATAAATACGATTGACTTATTAACTTAAAATAATTTGTGGTCAACAAAATATAGAACAATTAAATTGAATGTCAACATTAATCACAAAAAAAAAAAAAATGAATCCAACAATTAAATATGATAGTACTGAGTCCATGACACCACAAGCCGTCATCTCATCATCTTGCATTCATCATCTGAAAATGGGGAGGGTTAACGTGGAATGAGCTAAAGCTCAGTAAGCAAACTTCATGCATATTATGTATGCTCATGATATTCATATGAGTTACTTGCAAACAAAAGGCATTTCTCATTATGTATCCCCATCCCTTCATTTCCTTAAAAAAACATAACATTGACGTCGTGAGCTCACTTGATGTATCGTCTATGGCCAATCAGAATGCAGTGGGCAATTATTATTTGAATCCCGATTGAGTCCTACCGGTAGTACTGCAAAGCGGTTAACATTAACATTAACCTTCATCATTCAACTGCAAAGCGATTAATATTAACATTGAACATTGGTCGGGTGCGCCGGTCCCCCATTCCCCATTTCCCACTCACACCTTCATGGCATAGACATACATCTCGTAACAAAAATATTTGGAATACATAACTTTAAATGTTCGTTTAGTCATGACATTTGGAAATCATTTTATTCCTTAAAACTCCATGTATGCTTGTGGATGCATTGATGTGCATGATTATGCATGAAACATTCATGACATAAAACGTAATAATTAAACATTAGGTTCACATAAGGGCAATTTAGATAACACGTTGATACATTTAATCATGTAGAGTGCGCAAGAAAATAAGTGGAGGTTTACTTACTTGGAATCCTTAGCAATTATTTATAGGATAACAGGTGAAAATGTCCATATCTGCCCACGAAATCAACGTGCTGAAAGTCCTAATTCAATTATCAACCACGAATGAAACTTCTCCAAACACATCATTAGTTGTTATTTTTTTTAATACTAAATGGATATTATATTATCTCAAAATTATCAACATCTCGCAAGTTATAAACTTAAATGCATGAAGAATATTTATCTACATAAACTAAACAATTAATTTGAATTTCCATGTTGCCACCACGTCAGATACGAAATTAATAGTCATGGACCACACTTGCATCATTAATTTAATGTCACCCATAATTAAAAGATACCAAACCTATCAAAAGCCTATATGTATAAATTGTTTCAAATGATACATAAAGCAAAGCCCAAATTGACTAGGGCCATGTTTGACACTCTTAAAAACTTTACTGGTTGACAAGTATTATATCTATTCTAAAGAATTTCTAACAACCTAATTAAATCAGAAAAAAGTTATCTTATAAGCTAATATTTCTGAAAAATAAAATGTAAGTACTTATACTTACTGGTAAGATTAGATTAAAATAGCAGTGTGTAGAAATCAATTGAGAGGAGGACTTCAAATGGATCAAGACGTCAATAAAATCATATGAATAATTAAGTGATTTAAATCCAAATAAAATCTAGAATAGGTAACTAGTATTATATATCGAATGAAGAATAAAGTACCAGTTTCTATTCTAAATTACAATGGATTACTAGATCCTAATCTCCATGTTCACCCTAACAGAAAAGTTGATGCCATTGAAGAATCATTGTATAAAATCAGAAAAGAATTAAATCTCCCATATGTTCAGTTAAGAAAAGAAAAAGTTTGCTTTATGCAAATTAATAAGAGTTTTCTTATAATTTTGAACTTAGAACACACATATATATGAACTTCATTCGCTTAAAAATTTATTTGAGGAAATACAGTTACTAATTCTTGGTTATCCAAAATATACAATTAATCTAACAAGAGTCAAATAGCAAAATAATAGAGTTATGCTTAAAGGGATTCTAAATGGACCATGAAATTATGTAAATTTGCACATACTCTCACACACATACTCACGCACATGTTCCTTTGTGTGTAGAAAATTCACATCTTCATTCACAGCATCATGTTTGACATAAGATATTATAATGAAGAAATGGTTTTACCTTCAATTGCAATAATCCCCACTTCCAGAATATGTAATTGATGGCAGGTGGTGTTTCGAATATTAATACAATTGGAATATGATATGGAACAAATTTTGTGTATATAGGAAGTGTAACCCTAGGTCTCAATTCTTTACCTTTAAGACTCAATAATTACCGGCCATAATTATGCTAATTTGACTTGACCCTATTAATTTACTCAATTCTTGCTCTCAAGGAATAATTAAATCTCTGATTTGGCTCCATCAATAAAAAATCACCCCTAAATTGGTGCCAACTAATTAACTTTTAAATCAAATTACTATTATAAAGAGAAAATAGATTATTACCATAATGTTCAGATTCCAAGTCTAATTATAAAGGAAACAAAATATCACGTAATATGTTATAAATTTAATGAAATTATATTTATCTTCAATTTAGAATTACTAGTCACATTGATCATTTAGGACATCCAAATTACATTTCACTGCAACAACATAATAGACAAGACAAAATAAAAATAATACAACTGCAATTAATTTAAATCGACATGATAGTCACGAGAAATAAGAGCGTGGCGTTACAATAAGAATGAAAGGTGTTAAGCTTTTTATCATCCTGACGTCGAGCTGTTTTTCCAAGATCAAGACTTTCCTCGGGCATTCATGTCTATGGTGAATCACTATCTACCTAGGATTCTGAATCCCTACTTCCACAGCTTTTGTGGGTGATTCACCCTTTCTCATTGGTGCTTTTCCTGAGAGAGTCTGATTTTGGGGGAAGAGATGATAATGAATACTCTCTCAAGTGAAGTGCTATGTCCTTAAAACAATGTTTTTGGAGGAAAATCATCACAAATAGTTAAATACCACGTGTAAAAAAAATATAATAGTAGAAAGTTGGGGAGGGAAAAAAGTTCATCACGA